TCCACCCTTAACCATAGATCGAGGTTCGAATCTCGCCATGGCATGGAGTAACCTTAAAATCCTTTGACCACTTTTCCCACCCATCGAGGTGCCTACCATGAGCGAGGGGGATTAGTCACTGTTACCGACGGTGGACACCCTGCAATATGCAAAAAAACAAAAATGAAAATGGAACGAAACCTGCCCATTTTTTTTTCAACGAGTTGTCGAGAATATTAAACTATTAATTTATCGGTAAGGATCATCTTTGAACAAATAGTTCTTGCTTATTCTACTGTTTTTTTCTTTTGGGTTCAACGTGGTGCCAAAAATACTAAAATGGCACTCCAAATCGTTCTAGGTATTTAACCTACTAAAGACTAAGAACCTTTTAAGCAGGACGATGCAGAGTGACATGCTGTTAAGGATGAAAATGTTGATCGAATGAGACCTTCCATTTTTTTTCAGTTTAACGGACTGTCAGAAATAAATAGTAAACTTTTGTTTTTAGATCCAATTTTAATAATTATTATTTAATTTGTTCTTCTTTCTTATTGTGTGTTTTTATGTCTTGTGAATTAAATTGGATTGAATTTTCTAATGTATTTTTTTCCCCGTGTGTTGTTACCGACAACACGTCCATCAACCAAAACAATTGCAGGTTTTTAACTCATTAAAGACTTAGAACCTTTTAAACCGGAATATACAAAGTGACATAGTATTAAAAGTGAAAATGAAGATGGATTAAGAGCTGGTTCTTCTTTTTTTTTTCTTTTTTTTTGGGTTTAACGGGGTGTCAAAAATACTAAAAATAGCAGAACAAACCATTACAATTTTATAACATACCAAAGACTCGGAACCTTTCTAAGTGAGATAACGTAGACTGACATGTTGTTAATGATAAAAATGAAGATGGAATTATACCCACCAGTTCTTTTTCTTTTTTAGTTTCAACAGACTATTATAAATACTAAAATAACGGCTAAAACCATTGCCGATTTTTAACCTACCAAAAAGATAAAACAATTGAGCAGGACGATACAGAGTGACATGATGTTAATTTATGTAAATGAAAATGGAACGAGACCCCCTTTTTTTCAATGGGTTGTTAAGAATACTAAACTATTAATTTATCGGTAAGAATCATCTTTGAACAAATAGTTCTTGCTTATTCTTCTGCTTTTTTTTTTGGTTCAACAGGGTGCCAAAAATACTAAAATAGCACTCAAAATCGTTCCAGCTATTTAACATACCAAAGACTAAGAAACTTTTTAAGCAGTACGATGCAGAGTGACATGCTGTTAAAGATGAAAATATCAATCTAATGAGACCTTCTGTTTTTTTTTTTTTAGTTTAACGGACTGTCAAAAATAAATATCAAACTTTTATTTTTAGATCCAATTTCATTAATAATTACTTAATTTGTTCTTTTTTTTATTGCATGTTTTTATATCTTATGAATTAAATTGGATTGAATTTTCTAATGAATTTTTTTTTCCCATGTGTTGTTACTGGCAACATATCCATCAACCAAAACCATTGCAAGTTTTTAACTTATTTGACTTAGAACCTTTTAAACCGGAATATGCAAAGTGGCATAGTATTAACAGTGAGATGAAGATGGATTAACATATGGTTCTTTTTTTCTTTTCTCTTTTTTTTGAGTTAACTAGGTGCCAAAAATCCTAAAATAGCAGACAAAACCATTAAAATTTTTTCACCTACCAAAGACTCTGAACCGTTTAAGTGAGATAACGCAGAGTGGCATGTTGTTCAGGATGAAACTGAAGATGGAATGAGACCTAGCGGTTCTTTTTCTTTTTTGGGTTCAACAAACTGTTATAAATACTAAAATAACAGCTAAAACCATTGCATATTTTTAACCTACACAAAATATGGAACCTTTAAGCAGGACAATACAGAGTGATGTAGCAGACAAAACCATTACAATATTTTAACCTACCAAAGATTTGGAACCTTTTAAGTGAGATAACGTAGAGTGACATATTGTTTAAGATAAAAATGAAGATGGAATGAGACCCACCATTTCTTTTTCTTTTTTTTTTTTGGTTCAACGGGCAATTACAGATACTAAAATAACATCTAAAGCCATTGCATATTTTTAACCTACCAAAAACATGGAACCTTTAAATAGAGTGACATGATGTTAAAAATGTAAATGAATATGGAATGAGACCTGCCGATTTTTTTTTTTTCAACGGTTTTGTTGAAAACACTAAATTATTTATTTATTGATATGTATCATCTTTGAACAAATAGTTCTTGCTTATTCTTCTGTTTTTTTTGGATACAACGGGGTGCCAAAAATACTAAAATAACACTCAAAATCGTTCCAGGTATTTAACCTACCAAAGACTATGCAGAGTAACATGCTGTTAAAGATAAAAATGTAGATCAAATGAGACTTTCTCTTTTATTTTAGCTTAATGGACTGTCAGAAATACTTAAATAACAAAAATGTATTTTTCTTTTCATTTATTTTTTTAATGGGCTGCCAAATATATTAAAATAGCAAAGTCTTCTTTTAGATTCAATTTCAATATTACTTTTTTATTATTATTCCTTTTTATATTTACGTGTTTTTACGTATTCTAGATTGAATTGGATTGAATGGTCTGATTGATTTTTTCTCGATATGCTGTCATTGGTGGCACCTCCATAAGCTAACATCTTTGCAGGTTTCTAACCTACCAAAAAATTTGGAATCTTTATAGCAGAACATCATAAAGTGATATACTGTTAAAGATAAAAATGAAGCTGGAATAAGACACGCAAGTTTTTCTTCTTTTTGTTCTTATTTATTTTTTAACAGACCATAAAAAATACTTAAATATTAGCCATAATCATTGCAGGTTTTTAACCTACTAAAGACTCAAAACTTTTTAAGAAGGACATTGCAGAATATCATACCGTTAAAGATGAAAATGATTATGGAATGATTCTTTGAAAATGATTATGGAATGATTCTTTTTCTTTTTCTTTCTCCTTTTTTTTTTGTTTGTTCAACGGGCCGCAAAAAATACTAAAATATCAGTCAATACCATTACATGTTTTTTAACCTACTAAAGACTCATACCTTTTAACATAAGACGATGTAGAGCGACATGCTGATAAGGATGAAAAAGGAGATGGAATGAGACCCGTCGGAAAGTGGCCCTTTCATAATTAGATGACACTCCTGGAAAATATATAATTCCTGACATGTTGCTTTTAGAAGTATTGCTTTTTTCCGATACATTTTTCAATAATGGCACAAACGCTTTGAATTTTTGCATATACCCTTAATTTTTTTCCGTTTTATCTTATTTATAAACAAAACTAATATTTCTTATACACCTTCGTTTTTAACTTATCTGTTGAAATTATATACTCATATTTAACGTAAAAAATATAGGATAATTTAATTCTAATTTACTCACCGTGCAATGCACGGGTAAAACACTAGTAATGAATAATGGATGTTATGATGAATAGTATACAATTTTTTTTTACTTCAAATCCATCGGAACATTATTTACACATCCAAATTGGTGTGTTTTTCATTCATCTGAACCGTAAATATAGTATAATAAAAGTTTGTATATTCGTTTTTCTTCTTTTGAGTTACTATTTTGAGTTAGTTAACTGAATAAATTGTATTGTATTGATGAATATCCAAGTGACAGTGATGAATAAATAATTCGATGATAAGTGGTTAAAAAAGTAACAAGTATCCATAATAATTATAATAATAAAATATTCTAAAAATATATCCCAATAATCAAAATGTACATTGCAAAAAAAAAAAAAAAACAAAATATGTTCGATGACTGGAAAGACGGTATACAATATGATTATGATCAACATCTAGTCCTTCGCTCCAGAGTATAACTTCTTCATTCCCTCTGTTATCATTAATGACTTTGTGTTGGCTTCTGAAGTTAACAACTCTCTCAAATACTTTATACGTAGCTGATCAAGTTTTGCTTGGTGGACTTTTTGTTGACTCTTAAAATGCAAACAAGTAGTAGTTAATCAACACCAAAAAGAATTGTGATTTTTGGTGGAAAACTTGATGATTTTAAAATAATTGTATTTACCGGTGTCGTCCCATACACTGGAATTCCAGACTTGAACTCTTTTGAAAAGATACTGAAAGTGTTCATGTGGCACATTGTATATATGGCACAGTCGATGTGGTTACCATTGTTGCTCCATTGAAGTGAATGCACCTTTGGGTTTTTGAACTACTATATATTTTTTAGATGATTTGACCTAGATTCCGTGAAGTAAAAGCCTCAATCTGTTTCAGGTTTGAAACATCAGTTACAATAAGGTATTCATCAACTATATCACAAAATTCATCAAAACAAAAAATATACTCACCAAAGACATAATCATAATTCTTAAATAATCCGCTTAAGATTCAATGTTGTTAGTTTTTAATAGCTCACCATAAAGTTATATGTCTCTCTATATTTGTCCTCGAACGGTATCTTTGCGCATAATGTATCGACGTTATCAATAATTTCCATCCGTTTGTTGACCATATTGAAGACATACAAGTAATAATAAGCGGAGCGTAATACTGGTGCAAAAAGCTGCAAAACCCATGATACTTGCTTAATTATATGCTATATTAAGTACAACAAAAGAAACATACAAACAACTTGATATAGTTGGATAATACCTGGCTTGCACGTGCGAGCTTCTCGTCACTGATGTTCATGTAACGGAGTTCATACCATATTCTATATACAGCATTAACCATGCACGTCTCCATTGGAAACGGATTTTTATCACTTGGCATTTGTGCCTATGCCATATTGTAACAAGATGAATGGTCATAGTAGAACAAATGAATATCAATGACTGAAATAATGAATATGTACATTATATAGATGAACAATTGGTATGTTTAAATGATTCCATTACCGATATCAGGGATGAAAAGTATATCGCTGGATGTTTTGTCCTTTCATGTGATACCTTTGTGTTCATGTGTGCTGCCCAAGCACCAACTACATATTATCCACCAGTTGACCAGGTGCCATTGTCTTGAAGCTCGATCTTTGGACGAAAAATATGTATGGGATCGTTGGCTTTTCCACTTCTTCGGGTATCTCAAAAAGTGTTTCACTGCATAATAGTTTAACAAAACATGCAGTAATCAGACTTTATGATTAATGAATTATTTTTTAAAAAACAAAACATGGGTGATATTCTGAAACCTCATTTATCTTACATGTCGTCTTGAATTCCGAAAACATAATCCGACAACATCCTCTCTTTTTCAGTGACGTTATCCATTTTTAATCCTTTTGTTTTCCAGAATGGTGGCACATCATGTAGTTGAATTGCTTGCCTATCTTTCTTCGGGTTATGTTTTTTTCCCACTGAGTACCCTGAAAAAATAAGCAATACATTTAGGGCTTATTTTAATGCATATCTAATGTGTGTTGGATGAATACCAATAAATGTTAATAATGAATTGTGTGTATACCCTTCAATATACTCTTTGATCTTATCTACCCTGGCACTTAGTGGGTCTTTGTTATCTCTTGAACCATCGTTAGCCCTTTTGGTGTAGAAAAGATGCCTTCAACTGGTATGTTGTCATCAATATTTACATTTTCGGTTCCTACCATTTCCTCAACTTCATTTGTCTGATTCTGAACATCATCAACAGTGTTTCGTACAGGGTGGTATGCAGTTTGGGTAATGGTCATTTCCTATTGGGAAGATGCAGAATTAATTAGAGTATGATGCATATGCGTATACTTATTAATGTTTATGTAGTAGATTATAAACATGTAAGCTGTGTTGATGAATACGTACGTGATATATAATGAATATACAAACATTTAGTGATGAACATAAGTACATTAACATTAAAAAATCAAAATATATTACCTTTGTTCTTCAAAGATGCTAGCATCTGTGTCAACCCAAGGCTAAAGTTCGGTTGTGATGAAGGATCAGCATGTGTGTCTTCATCTTGTGGCTCTGATGATGTTGATGCACCATCAATGAACCCTCCAAACTTTCTGCAAAAATCCAGCATTTCTGGACAGTTGTACCAATCCAACATTTGACTTTTTGTTTCGAAATCTCCTTCCTGTTGTTGGTCACTATAAACACCTCCAGCTTGCTTTTGCGTTACAACAACCATACTGTTTATCTTTTTGATGTAATTGAAGAATAAATTGCTTAATACACTCTCGCTCTAATCCCTGTAGATTTGGCCTTCTCGAATAATCCTCCATACTTGATTAGCAGTGGACCCATATCATTTATCATTACATGTTGAAATTTTTCTGCCAAAGCCATTTCCTAGAAAATATACATTGATTGTTAATTCGTATGATATTCATTAAATATATACAATTAAATATTGCATAACCGGAAAATATACCTTTTGGGTCGCATGTTGCTGAGGTTCTGGTTTGGAATGACTTTGCGGTTGAGGGTTTGGTTTTGGAGTTACGGACTTTTTGTGTATAATGTCACTTCCAAAACCATCCCCTCTTCTCTCTACATCTGCTCTTTTTTCTCATCTTTAGTTGACCAGTGTACAACCACTGGAAATCTTTGCGTTTTCCTAGATTTTGCATTGGGTACTACACGATCCATGTATGTAAGCTGCAAAGTTGATTCAGAACATCAATGTTGGTGAGTAACAAAATATGTATAATGAACATCTTAATATTATTAATGAATATCTATTAGATAAATGCATCGAAATAAAAAAATATCAAAATTACATCCTTACCATCAAAAATAACAGCGGCCCTGTAAAATGAGCAGGATTGCTTCTGTATTCATTCCACTGAATGCTTCAGCTCCGTTAATATGTATTCACACCAATTCAGATTTTTAATTCTTCCTACATTGATCAGTGAATCCATGAGGGTATAACGACACTCTTGTCCCCTGTTTCACCAGAAAATACTCGAGACAACTTCAACAACAAACCATCTTTTGAATTTATCACCATAAACATGGTCTGTTATATTATTCGCACTAGGTTGTTTGTCTTTTATGACCATTCTTCCACCAACAAGATGATTCATCACTTTCGTTGTTGTTGGACCACCAACAAGATGAATTGATCATCAAATGTTATCCTCATTTCTTCCACTAGCATGAGGTATTCGTCAGTAGCAGCATCTTCGAAATAGTCTTCTACCTCATATTCACCTCGTGGAAGCTTGAGGACAGACTCCACATCTGCTTCACCTTTTGACAACTTGTTTTTCCCTTTGAGTATAAGTCGCGAGCCAATGGGGCTGTTTGATGGTCAGGGGAATAAAAAAGTCATCATGACTATATTATAGTTTATGATGAATATAGCTGCCAAATTGATGAATAATAATTGCATGTGAGTGAATAATATAATACTTACTCGTACTGTTTGACCAGATATTTGCACAGATCTGCACAATCAAATCGCTTGCATTTAATATCCAGTAGGTGTCCGAAAACTATTTCCCTAACTTCTTTTTGCTGTTTTGGATCCAACTTAGAGACAAACTGCATGAGGCAAAACTCGTGTTTTAAACGTTTCACCTTCACCCATTCTTCTTTTCCTTTTTTTACCTGTTTCTTTTGGAATTTTCTTTCATTTTACACCTTTCATGCTTTCCTTTCTTTCTTGTTCCTTTTTCCCGCTGCTTACTTTATGTTGTTTACTGTCATCATCATTATCTTTCGTTTTGAAATCATTGTCATAAAATTTGAGGACAAATACAAAAGAGAAACGAATAAATATTATACTTGGTCTAATCAACTTCAACGATTTTTAACATAATCGTGATTTTTTACTTATTACCTGTTTTCAATTTCAGCTGTCCTTGTATTCCTTCTTGAGCTTTCCACCCCTTTGGATTTCATTTCTTGTTCAAATAACTAAAATGGATGAATATAGGTCTAATAGTTGACTGAAATGGTTATAACTGGAAACATCGTCATGTTTAATCAGACGAATATTGTATAAACTTAAACACGGCAAGTAGAAACATTACCTTTGTTTTTTTACCCCCTATTTGTTTGCTTCTTTGAAACGCGTGATGCTAGTTCTTTGTTCGTTTCTTAAGTTGGTGGTGGCTTGTTGACCCTAGTCCGTTTTTCTAAACTTTGTACACTGATACATGAAAAATTACTTATAAGATGATGAATATGAATTGGGCATTGATGAATATTATCTTGTTTCCAGATGAATAACCACATTATTAAAAATGAATCATGATTTATAACCCGGATTTGATGAATAACAATGAAGGAAAAATGGATAACTGATATATCGTATCTTTTTTCACCGTTTTTCAGAATAATAACATCAGTATCACCCCTGGTTCGCTTTTTCCCAGAACCCTGTATCTCTATGTCTACACTTAGTTTGGTTTGGTTTCTTGAAGATTCGAATATCCTGCTTCTTTCGGTTTCTGATTGTTGTTCTTCATTAATGCTTCAATATGTGATGAATTTATTAGTGTATTTCTTAATATACACGTATCAGACGTATCACAAACGTAATGAATAACTACTTCTGTATTAATGAATAACTATATATAGAAGATGAATAAACATTTTGACAATGATGATATACCATGTATTCTTTTCTAATTATGGAATCAGAAAATTAATAATCATTGTTGAACCAATGGATATCAGCCCTTGACGGATGAATATCCCAGGAAAAAATCAACAATACAATCTAATGAATACCAACTACCAAACTGATGAAAAAAAATTGGCAGGTACCAAATACCAAACTGTTGAATACCAAAAACCAAACACAATTTAATGAATATGAGAATTTTAACAATGAATAATTATACTAAACTAATGAATAATACACAAATCTACTAATTTACCCAAAAAAAATCTAATGGAAGAACAAATCTATGAAATTGATGAACAAACATCGTCAGTCGAGTGAACATACCTCAGATCTACATAACGCAAACAAAAAAACACACTAATGGTTGAAGAGAATAGTTCTATTAACTGACTTCCCCTTCATCGTCCGATTTGCTCATACTGGCTTCGGAATCCTCAGCTACTGGCCTCTACATGAGTATTTTTAAAGAAAAACAGTATTCAACAAACTTTATACATTGGATTAACACAGAAAAGCTGATGGATTCAACCAGAATTTATCTTAATCCTTATATTCAGTATAGTAAATGGTAACCAAAATCACCGATTTTGATGAACAATCTGATTCAGGCTTTGGAAGTTCCACCGACGGTAGCTTCTCTGGAATTGTCACTGCAGGAATTATTTTCTGGGTTTTTTGGATTGTTTGGATTGAGACAGAATGGATTGAAACGAATAGGAAGTTGGTTTTTGGTAATGGCCAAAAATTAGGAGAAAATGGCGGTTATCGGGATTTGAAATCTAAAAGGTTTTAAGGTTTAAAAAAATTTCAACCAAAATAAAAAAAATAATTTAAAAAATTCATCTCCGTGTCGGTTTAGGGTTTACAGTTTAGTGGTTTAGGGGGGTTTAAGCATTTTAATTTTAGGTAAGGAACTAGTTTGTACTGGGAAACGATTAACTTTTTAAATTTTTTATACCGATTAGGCTAGGATCTCGTCTAGCCTAATCGGTTTAAAAAAATTTCAACCAAAATACAAAAAAAATAATTAAAAAAATTCATCTCCGTATTGATTTAGGATTTAGGGTCAGGGGTTTAGGGAGTTTTAAGCAATTCAATTATAGGTTAGGGTCTAGTTTGTGCCGGAGAACAATTAACCTTTTAAATATTTTTAAACCGATTAGGCTAGGGTCTCGTTTAGCCTAATCGGTTTAAAAAAATTTCAACCAAAATAAAAAAAATAATTTTAAAAAAATTCATCTCCGCGTTGGTTTAGGGTTTGGGGGTTTAGCGGGGTTTAAGCATTTCAATTATAGGTTGGGGACTAGTTTGCGCCGGGAAACGATTAACCTTTTAAATTTTTTAAACCCATTAGGCTTTACGAGAGCCTAGCCTAATTGGTTTAAAAAAATTTCAACCAAAATAAAAAACATAATTAAAAAAAATTCATCTCCGTGTCAGTTTAGGGTTTAGAATTTAGGATTTAGAGGGTTTACACTATTCAATTATAGGTTAGGGTCTAGTTTGTGCCGGAAAACGATTAACTTATAAAATTTCATCTAAAATTAAAAAAAAAAAGAAAATTCAACCAAAATAAATGATTGCTTATAGTTGAAGATGACTGTTGAAGATGATCATTAATTGTGTTTAATGGGATGAACATTGTAGTTTAAACGAATGATCATAAAGGACTTTTGATAAATAAGGACCATGACTCTAAGATGAACATTGCAGTTTAACAGGATGAACATTCTGTTTAACAGGATGAATATTGTAGTTTAAAAAGATGATCATACAGGACATTTGACAAATAAGGACCCTGACTCTAAGATGAACATTGCAGTATAATAGGATGCACATTCGGATTGGTACAGTGAACAACAAAAAAGTTTAATGAATTTTCTACTTTTAAAGTGATCAAAAGACATTTCAGACATTTCAGTGGCTTGTTCAGACGATGAATCTTCTTTCTCTTCACTGGTTTGTTCAGACGATGAATCTCCTGTTTGCTTCTTTGCTACTTTTTGTCTTGCAAGATAATCACCGCCATTTTTCCTCTTCTTTTTTCTCTCTTTGGTGACAGATGTAGTTGATTTGACTTTCTTTTGTGCTTCAGCATTCTCTTGTTGAGACGGTGAACTGTTGTGCGCTTCAATGGGTTGTGTGGAAGGGAGACTCTTGTCTGTATTGCTTCTCCTCACATTCTTATATCGCTCTCTATTGCATGACAACATTCACAGTAATATAAGATGAATAACAACATTCTCATCTATAAAATGAACAACTGAGCTTCACAGGATGAGCAATAACTAGAAGCAAATGAACAAGACTCTCGCAGGATGAAAATCAACAGTTTCACAATGAACATTTAGTGATATGCAGTGAACATATATCCAGAAATCAATATCAAAGCATACAGCATGGGCATCTAAGTATGCAGGATGTACAATCTAACATTCTCTGTCAAGATGAGCATCGAAGTATACGGACTGAGTATCGCAGCATACAAGATGAACATTAAAGCATACAGGATGAGAAACCTAACATTCTCTGTCAAGATGAGTATCAAA